TAGTCTATAGGATTTATCTTCAAGATTTTTTTGATTATTTTTTTCTAAATAGATTTCTAAAGAATTAATATTGTTTAATTTATCATATTCATTTCGAACAAAAAATAAGGTGTACGTTATTTTTTTTGCCTTGTTGATTGTCATAGGTTTTGTTTGTTCTCATTCTATATAAATCAATCCATTAAAAATGAATCATTCTCTTTTTAATGGAACTGAAAGAGATGGACACAAAAATATTTCACTATATTCTGTATTTGAAGTACGACTCTTGACAAGTTATTTTACGTTTTTCTTGATGAATAATCACAAACAGAAGTTTTCTTCAAGCGAGAATATAACCCCTTTCGATGTTCGATTCAATCGAAAGTTGTCCTTGATACTAAAATAGACATGGATAGTCTCATGATCAACCAACGAATAGTAATAAATAAAAAAATCTCGAGTTTTTCCTTCGATCAACACACAAACTAAGTAACAACATAAAAATCCCATCAAATATTCTATTTTTTATTTCTACGCAACTTCTCGACGTTTTTAAAGAGTACGAAGACAATGACAGAGAAATATTTGTATACTCATATATACCTTCAAGTATTAATCTTGAAAGAAAGGGCAAAGGTGTAATGAAAGCATCTATAAATTGAAAAATAATGTTTGACGACAAAAATTAATAGAAGACAGTAAAAGTTGAATACAAAGAAAAACTTGAAGGATGAAGTATGTTCGACTAAAAGAATATATTTATGATGAAAAGGCTAAATATTCTCTCGAATATTCAATTTAAAAAAAACACTGGGCAAAGATTCGAATGATGTTATCAGAAAAAAAAGAATAAGTTAAGTAAAACATAGAGACTTTTATTTTTAATATCAAAATGATCAAAACAAAATCAATTGACGAATGAATTTCAAGAAAATTTTTTTAAATTCAATTCTCTTCCATAGATAAAAATTAATATAAAACAATAATTAAAAATTTGTTTTTTAGTTTGAATAAAATGTGTTCTTCTGAAACCTGTTCTCAAGAATATTTTTGCATTTTTATTTTGCGAAAACCTACATTCGGACAATCTTAGAATGCGATCGTCAAAGGACGTATCTCAAATTATATTTGGACAAAAAAAAAGAGACTTTTATCAATTATGAATACGTTTTGGCATCAAAAAAAAACTGCAATTTATTAAGAAATAAACTTATTTTTATTGATGTTTTTATCGAAAGATTGTTTGGTGTGTACGATTTTTTGAATAAATCTAAGCAAATATTTTCTTTTATTTGTCTCGAAGCATATATATCCATCGAATTGTTTCTCTATTAATCTGCCTAATAGTAGATTGAAAGTCTTAAAATAAATGTTTAATATTTGAAAAATATTAGAGAAAAACTTTTGATATATTCGTCGAATTTTCGAACAATTAAAACCAATTGATTTAAATATAGCAACAGACCATGGAGTCAAAAAAAAATTCATGACTTTCCTGAGTTTTATATAAGAAATGCGAAAAAAACTCATTTTCTTATGATGAAGTAGACAAAAAAATTGATATTTTTAATATTAATTGATGAAAATGTTTATTTTGATCAATGAATATGAAACATGTGAATTTTTTTCTTCATTTCATCATTGCGAAATGGTAGCTTTTTTTTTTAATACTTATTCATTCGTCGAGTGTTGATTAGAAATGCGTGGACATCGTGACATTTCAATTGTTTTTTTTTTTTGCTCTTCAATTTTGAATATTGATCCAGCGATGAATAAGAAACAAAAATAAACTCACTACTACGCATTTTTTTTCTTTTTTTACCAACAAAAGAATTCCATAAAAACAATCAAAATAAAATTGATGAATAAACCTTTATTTTAAGCATATAGTTAAGACTTATAAGAAAAATCAACGTTGTAACATACTACATATTAAATTAAAACTAGAACTTTTTCCATACGTTTATTACACTGAGACTATGATTATTTTCGTTGATGCTAACATGATACCGACAGATTCGTTCTTCGAATATGTCAATTTGACAAGAATTATAGAAGAGAATTTCATTCTTCACAAATCTGATATTAGAAGACTAAATCAATATCATCGTTTAGTAACAACGTTTTTTTTTTTTTGTAATAGACTAATTCTAATGACATTCGCCGATATTTTTTTATCTCCAGTGAATATCTACGATTTCTATCAGAATAAATCTTTCTACATTGAGAGATTAAAAGTTGAGAAAACTATTTTAGAAATTATTTTGTCAAAATCTATTTAATACTAACTAAAATAGTATAAACTAACAATGAATGATAAACATTCTTTTTATTTTGGCAAGTCAACACAAGTGTTTTAGTTTAGTAGATAACAAGGAATCAGAAGAAGAATAATGAACAAAATAAATAATAATAATTTTTTATGTTCTTGTATTTTCATTATATTGATAATCAAGTAAAAAAAAAATAAATAATAAGAAAAGAAAAAGGAAAAATAATAAAAAGAAGAGAAATAGTAAAAAGAATAGGGTGTGGGTGTGTGTCTTAGATTCACCCACACCCTTTCGTATCTCGATTCAAGATGATAGTTTTACAGAATCATATGGAAGATCGTTCGGATAAATAAAAACTCGATATGTTCACCTATAATTTTAAAAAAATTGTTGATAAAGTTAAATGAAATAGCAAAGATATACGAAAAAACTTTTGGTAGGTTATTTCTGGGACACCCTGTAGAGCCAGACGATTTTTTGACGTACTTTCGGCTTAGTAATAACTCTTTTTCTGCTCCATTTCTAGTTCTATCGAAATACTTTCTTCGCACAATGAAGTTTATAGGCTAACCATCCGTTTCTGATAGTTTTTCAGTTCAAAATATTTTCATAAGTTCATAATAGAAATTATATCCGTATAATTACAGATTTATGAGCAAATTATTTGATGATGAGCTTTGTCAGGGTTCAATTTGGTTTGTGGAAATATAGTTTTACTGTAAGATCAGCTAAACATAGATGCATTCTTTCAAATATTTAAACATTGGAAAGAAGAACTTGAGGTCATGTCGATCTGGCCGCCCACTGTGCCACGTATTGATCACTCAGTTTTGGTTTTTCGATAGTTTTTATTTTTGGCATTTTTACCTTTCAACCAAAGTAGAATTTATCAGATAGCACTATCACACAGTGAAATTTTTTTCAATAAAGATGAATATAAACATTACTTTTTTTTGTGATTCATCATGATCAAAAATCTTGGCCATGCAAGACGATAGTTGAAAGTCACGGTGCTTAAACACCATTTTTTTCCGATTCCTTGTCTGTCTGGGTGATCGTTTACCGACTATTTTAAAAAATGGTTATAGAAAGTATTTTTGTTCGAATAGTATTTAAGTATTGAAACTTTTCATTTATTTTCATCAACCCCTATTAAAACAGAATATTGATGTTAATTGTGAGTTCTCTCATTTTTTTACCAAAAGGACTAGTGGAAATAAGAGAGAGAAAAACAAAGAAATGAATATGAACGATTCATTCTTCATCAAAACAATACTGTTCTCTATCGTTTAGGGACATCATATAGTAAGGGTGTCTATTTTTCTTCATGAGCCAGTTACAGTCATACCTACACGATTGTTAATCTCCAAGGAGAACGATGCATGTTTTTGACTCAAGTACTGGTTGGGACAATAACTCAAGGAAATTATTTGATGACAACGTGCCCATCCGACTTCGATACAACAACAGATGGTTCTCACATATATGTCACCTATCATGACAGTCAAGCTTTTGGAAAATACTTAATCACTTACAAATAGACATTGAAAATACAGATCTCATCTTTTGAAAATCCTTCAAAATAAAAGTTTGTTATTTAAGTCAAGATGGAAAGTGTATTCGAAACACTTAAATAAGGCTATGAAAATAATTGTTTTCTTTTTATGGTCTTCGTAATCATGTTTTTTTCATTTTTAAAGAAAGATTTTCCGTTATTTTGATATGAAATATTTTGTGTGTGGCTGTGGGTGTTATTATGACCCGCACGAATACCTACGCCCACACCCCGGGGAAAGAAACTTTTCGTTTTTGAGAAAATTTTTGGAGTATTACTGCGTGAATCTCTTGATTTTCTACTTTTCAAAAGGAGAAAATTTGCGAATAAATTTCCCCGGGGACGCAAACTCGACCGTTCCACGGAAGATTTTGCATCTCTATGTAAAACTACCGAGAGAGTCATTGAGATACGGAAAGAACAAGCACACAAACATATTATGTGACAAGGAGATAACTGTTCATATTTGAAATTCGTTCTTGCGTGAGCTCATTTCCATCGTTTACTATTGGACTTCTAACATGATTTTACTGTTGTAGCACATCACTCTTGAAAAATCCTTCTTTTCCTCTTTTTTTTTGAAAAAATTTTTCTCAGAATCCAAGTTTTTTTATGACTTCTCGCTACGATCTCTGCGTCTATGTAAATAAATATTTTATAAGTTAGAATCTGTGTGCTGAAATAATATCTACGTGATAGAATAAAACTTAACTAGAGTATAGCTAAATCTTGAATTCATAATTTCGGCGAGGCTTGAGACTCACCCAGCCTCTATATGTTCCGCCGGCTATGATAAAGATAAGTTACTTCATTGGTCATTCACGCACACTCACCACTTCATTGGATCTTGTAAGATGCCGCTATAAGACTCATATGAACTCGGAAAATATTCGAGTATTCTATATAATCATATAAATAGTGGAATCTATTGAAATAATATTTTACTTTGTGAGAAAATAGATTTATAGATAATCAGTGAAATATCAACTGTATCTTCTTACTGACTACGAACTTTTGATCTTTTTATCACACAAACTCCTTCACCAATCATTTTCAATCGTTGTCTACATTAAAAAATAATATAGACAGGGCATGATATACGTATATGCTACGGTCAAACAAGGCATTGTCGGTATGACCTATATAAAGAATGTTTTGTCAGATAGTTGAACAATAAAATTAGACTAAAAATGTCCATGAGCAAGGGTACAAAACGTATTATTGATGATATGGGTAAGTATTATATACCTTTTATCTTATTTTGAAATAACAAAGCTTTTTTTTAATATTGACGAAAAATTTTATTTTGCTAGAATTTGATTCATTATCAATAAAACATATTCGTCGTCATGTTACTTGTTTAGTTGATTTGTCAAATGAAATTTTACTTTCCATTTGTCGTTATTTATTTCCAATTGATGTTCTTTATTCATTTTATACTCCTGAAAAACCTGAATTACGTCTTCATTATGCTATTTCTGATTATTATACAAAAATTAAACTTGATGGAGTATCTAATAATGGATATAATTACTTATTAGCTTTATTTAATTATTCCAAAAATCCTTTTCGACCTCATTCATTAATATTAACTAATGAAGGTGTATCTTTTTTAATTCAACGTTATTTGTCTTCAATAGATACGGATATAATTCGATCAATATTTAACAATCTTAGAAGTCTTACATTAATTGATTGTTCTTCAGACGATCTTGATATAATTGAAATATATTACACATATATGATACAGCTTCAGTATCTTCATATTACTGTTCGGAAGACTGGTGAACATCTTAGTAAGTCAATTGATAAAATTATGTCATAAATACACTCAGATGATGAAAAATGTTTTGAAACAAACCAAATAGCTCTATTCATAATTTCTATAGATTCAGAAAGATATTATTTGTAGTTTATTTTACAATTAGAGATGGACAATATTGATTCCGATTTCAAAAATATTGAACTTGCGCATTCGTATTGAAAACTGAATTTAATAATAGCAGAAATTCTAATTTTATGTTTAGAATGGCCTGTAACAGAAATATATGATGTATCAGTCTATCGATTTTTATTTACCAGGCGAATGCCTTCTTTACAGACAATTATCGTTAATGAACCTGATGGAATTACATTATTTAAAACATTAATACCTCATGAAAATCTTCGTTATATTGATATTACAGTAGAAACAATCGATGATTTATATGTATTACTTGATGGACTTGTACCTAACGTAGAAAAAATGATTATACAAATAAGTCGATCACGTATACTTTGTAAGTATTCGTAGAATTATCAATACAAGAAAGTATCAATGAAATATATGAACAATTAGAAAAGTTTTCAAATTTTTCTGTCTCGGCGGCAGTGGTGACTTAGCTTCATGGCTTACACGTCTATCTACTAGAGATGTACGGAGCTTGGTCACCCTATACAATAGTGACTGCGATCAACAATGAATCTAACTAACGCTGATTGAGACCGAGAGCTTCAGGCTAGATACATCATCTCTATAGATCTACCAATTTCGATTAGTTCCAAGAACTGGAATCAGTGCATTCCTACTCAAGATCTTCGAATTCAGTTCTTTCGATTAGAAAAATTTTATCGCATGACGAAAATAGGGAAATTGAACTGGGCAACCATTGTTTCCTTTCTTATGAAAACCTTTCTCAATCAGAAGAGTATACAAAATAAGTCGATACTGCTGTTAATGAATTTGGAAATACATTTATAATTTCGATCAAAAAGCACCCCTTTGTTACTAACATTTCAAATATTATCTTTCTTTCAAACGTAATTCTAGCGTATATTTGGCCGGAAAGTCCACCATCATGTCTTCGATTAACTGAATTTACATTATTAGATTCTTCTATTGAATTAGATATTGATAATATTAAATCTATTCTTCCTTTTATGCCAAATTTAATCAAATTAACATTAAGTATTCGTAATACACCTGATCCAATGTTTTGTCATGGTCCATATTTGGAATCAACATTGAATAAATATTTACCACAACTTCGTCAATTTGATTATACAATGACACATAGACTTGTTGATCAAATCTTAATTGGAGATTTTACTCGATGGTCAATGCATGTTGTTTTCAATGAAAATAAAGATTATAAATGGGTTCATATATATTCATTACCATGGCCTTCAAATAAAGATGATAAAAGACGATTACCTATTGTTAAAGGTGAATGTAATACATCAGTTCAATCAGATGTTAAAATATTTGAATGGTTAGATCATGTATTGATAACAAAACCAAGTGAATTAGTTCAATTAAAAACACATTTTCGTCGAGCACGTAAGATAACAACGGATATATCAATTCCTATTGCATTACCTAAACGTATTTGTAAAATCATTTACACAAAACCAATTCGTAAGATACCTTTATTAAATAATGAGATTTTTGGTAATTTTTTATTTTAGTTATAAATTCAACCAATATAATAGTTCAACCTTTTGTCCGTCATTTAGTTGTTCAATATCGTTTAACTGATGTAGAAGAAATCTCAAATTTTGCTCATCAATTTCCTTATGTTAAATATTTAGAGTTATTATTTCCACCAAATGAAAATTTATTTCTTGAATGCTTTCAGACATTATTTAGTGTCTATGATTATATTAATGCTAAGCGTCGATTTTGGTCTTATTTAATAAGCTTTTCAACAAGATTCTTTTATGATGGACTAGATAAAAATTTAACTAACCTTGATATTCATTATTGGCTTACTCGAAATACTGACCTAAAATTTTTGAAACGTCAGTTTTGCGTTAATTGTTCTAATTCCATATTATCGATTTGGTTTTGACTTGTTAAAAATGATAATTTTCTTTTTTCAAAAGATCTATAGTGGAGTACAAAAGTTTAAGACACTTTTATTATCTTATAGATTTTTCTCATTATCGAAAGAAAGAAAAAAATTTTGATCATATACTATCAGATGCAGACATAGGCGGCGCAGGATTTTTTGGATACGCTGAATCTCAGTTTCAGAGCATGGGACCCAGATGAAACTCATGGAGGGTGATATTGAGCCTAAATGGCGAGTTTTATTCAAAAAATTTTTGCGATTGAAGTTTGCGAAAAAATTTTTAGAAACCTTATTGCTACCCCTAAAAAGTTTTTTGCTTTTTTGTAGTATTCCAT